TGAATTTTTCCACAGTCCTCACAAAGTCCTTCTTCACAAATTGTACACCACTGCGTTGCATCTTTGATAGTATCCGCATAATGACATGTACCACACAAAATTGTGGAAGTCATGCTAAATTTTCTGTAAACAAAGAATAAACATCTTAGGTCATATCGAAATAGAAATAAATTGTAGTAGACACTTTAGGGCAAAAGAAAAATATTTTTTAACAAAATAAGAAAATGACAAGAACACTATCTATAAGTTGTGGTGGAAGTGCTATATTTGTTTTATCTCATCAGGAACGTTCAAACCCAAAATATGAACGCCACAAATGTATACGTTACTGCCACGTGATTAGCTAAATGATCAAACGACCTTCGATGTCCCTTTAACAGAAAAACTAAATCCATGTAAGTCAACTTTACCCGAGATAGTTGAATCTTTTTTTCTATATAACTTCTAATACACTAGATCCAAAAGGTTAACCAATAGAGTATAGTATATAAAATGGGCACATACAAAAACGTAGCGTTGACTAATACTAACATTGGTCATGAATTGAAAACAATGAAATAAAACCACTCAGCCCAGGCCTTGCGGTTATAAAACTTTCGAGCACGATTTTCGTATTCAGACTCAGAAATCAACTAATCAAAATCATGGATTTGGTGTTTCGAGCACAAATTTTGTACTCTGAGTACTGAGTAAAGTTTTATGACCGAGAGCCCTGGCTCGCACATCCTATGATAATTCTATTGTAGTACAAATTAAATGTTGCTTATGATAATTAAGTATTCGGTATCAGCTAATCAAATATTCAGATAGATATTTTCTCCTTTCAAACATTTACAGTTCAAAAAGTTTATCAATTTCAAATAAAGTTTATCTATTACAGTAACTGAACAATTGATCTAATTTATCCCCATTTTTTGTGGGGTCCGTGTTGCTCAGTATTTTCTATGTTGTGTTTTGTGTACTATTGTTTGTCTGTTGGTCTTTTATCTTATTTAGCCAAGGCGTTGTCAATTTATTTCCGACTTCTGAGATTGAATGTCCCTTCGTTATCTTTAGCCTCTCTCTTTCTAATCAATCTAATTATGAAAACTGAACTTATTTATTAACAGTGAATAAGACACAGATGTTTCCTCTCCTTAGAAATGACAGTAAGTTTTGAATTGAATCCTCTGAAAAGTATTTACTCTGCACCACGTTTGAGTCTTATATAGTCGAAACGCATTACGCACTTACGTTGTAACTATGAGCTTGTTCCGTTAAATTGTTTTTTTTGTAAACTACTGGGTCGATGCCACAGCTCAAGAGTCGGCACTTCTGTGTTACCATGGCAAACATTGATGCATTCATTTTGATGTTTACAAATTGTTGAAATTTTGAAAAACCAAGGATTTTCGAAACTTATTTGGCATACTTTTTTTGATTTGTTAATTTTCAATCCCTTTCAACTTTAAACTTGATTTTGGTTACAGTTGTACGGAAGGTTCTAATGTAGACGAAACGTGCATCTGGCGTTCTAAAGGGTATTAGATTTAGATTAAACTCCTCAATCTATTTTGATACATATCTTTACACCGTACATTTATATTTTCAAATTTCTAACTAAAGGCTTGGCATGTGTTTTAAAATCGATAATATTTAATTGTCATAATATGCTATCAACTGATTGTATAGAAAACGTTTCACATGAGATATCAGGTTGAAATATAAGTCATAAAATATAAGATTGTTTAACGATACATAGACAAATATGTACTTTCCTTTTAAATGATCGACAAAATAAGTATTTCCTCTGTGACACGTCAGCATACATTTTCACTTCTCCGAGTTATGTCACATTAGGGAAATCAGAGTAAGGACTGTTATTTTGTGTCACATTTGAATGTTTGCAAATAAACAACTGAAAGAAAAGCGAACCAATCATGTAGGGGGACATTTCATTCTTCTGCATACCATTACTTGACTTTGACTTGGGTACATTTTAGTTGCACACATATTAATTTTCGGGTTTTAGTGTATTATCTGATACAAGTACATTATAATGACATTTCAATAATATATTAGCCATAAAGCCATCATGACATTGGTTTTCACAATAGTAAGAGATGATAATGAGATAAAAGAACAGCTCTTTTTCCGTTGGTACATATTTTATATGGCTAAGTAACTCGATAACATTTATTTCGGGTGGTTTTTTTTAAGTTAACTGACAAAACACTTGATACGTGTGGTATCCTTTAGGTAGCAATACACAGTCAGGAAAAAAACTTTAAGTTGACACTTACAATTTTTAATCCCCCTCTTTCCCTTGCTTTCTAACAAATAAAGCTTACTGTTTGTGTGTCATGCATGTGCGTTGCATGGAAACAACATCTTCCATATTTTTAATTTCCAATAGTTAAAATGGTGAAAAAATCATCTCTTTTATGTGTAATCATGGTAACAATATGCAATTATTTGATACAAATATTGCAAAAATAGGGGTAAACACAGTTTAACACTACAATAACTTCTAGACCCCTGGGCAGTACGGATGTGAAAATACAGACTGTGACACGATTTTTGCTTATTGTCGAAGACCGTACAGTGACCTATAGCTGTTAACTTCTGTGTCATTTTGTCTCTGGTGGAGAGTTGTCTCATTGCAATTGGCAATTATAGCACATATTCTTATTTTTATATAGCTACCTTAACCTTGACAAAACCATAACTTAGTAATTTTGATGAATTTTTACATCACATCTTCTGGATTGCTTTTTGATTTTGATATATGATAATAAATCCTGAAACACCTATAATCCTGTAAGAATGATCAATAGGCGATAACTTGAAAACTTGTCCGAGAAAATGCTTAAACACTTCATAAAAAACCTACAAGCGCTAAATAAATATGTCTGGATGGACGTACAGACACAAGGAATCAAATTAACGTTCGATAACAACAAAAAAAACATTTATTGAAGGCCTGATATTTAAGGCAAATAAGCCATAGCCCTTATTGTTTACCTTTCCTCATCGTAATAAACAAATCACAATTCTTCGATAAATACTTTGCCTGCACACTGACCAGTTTAAAAAATAATTTCTTTTAGAATCTACTTATTTGGTAAAAGTAAGTACAGTGTACGAGTTTGAAAAGTTCAAATGATTTTTATACAAGTGATATTTTTACTTTAATAAAGTTGATGATCAGATTTGCAATATGAGTTGCAATATTCTAGATTTAACTGTGAAAAAATCAAGGCAGATATAGAACTATTTATCTTTATATTAATATAATGTTGTGTGTCTTAATTTGATTTCTAGTACATTTTTTTTTAAATAAAACATGTAAACATGTCAAAGCATAATGTATGTTATTCCACTTAAAGATCAAGCTGATATATTACAATGTTGCACTCATGCTATAATGGTAAATACATCATTATCAGATAGTTTAGTGTAAATAGTTTGTAGATCTCTACATTCTTTTTTTTTCAAGGCACTAGACAAATTTGCATATTACCCAAATATTATATTCTTAGCAATGTCTGCCATGTTGGTTGGCAAACTGGATCATTGGACTCAATTTTTTAACAAGATATTTAAATGATGATTGTGGCCAAGTTTGGTCCCAGTTGGCCTTTATTTTCAGATCTTTGTAAAAGTGAACAGAAAAAAAGGCAATGGAGCTAAATGATGAGAATAGATTACTTAAATCTGATAGCTAAAGTCCTGTACTCTGGAAAGACAACCCAGAAAATTTTCTAAACCAAAAGGGAGTTTTTAGGAAATGAATCCGAGTTAGTGTGTGTTATGTTGAAAAAATGTCTCTATGAATAAAGTCCATTAACTCTGGAATGACAAATTAATCAATTCTAGTCCTGTGAAAATTTTTTACAATTGTCATGCATCACCAGTTTTCAAAATTATGAATCCAGATAGATTTTAGCAAGAACTCTGTAAATAAAATGTCTGTCATATTTGATTTTTGTAAATTGTTTTGTTATAAATTAGGCTGTTAGTTTTCTCAATTGAATTGTTTCATATTTTTCATGTCGGGGCCTTTTATAGTCGACTATACGGTATGGATTTTTCTCATTGTTGAAGGCCTTACATTTTTGCTTTCATCAACTTCATGGATAGTTGTCTCATTGGCAATCATACCACATCTTATTTTGATGTTGACATTTTCAAATAAGTATTTAAATATCTTGATTGCATTTAAAATTGTAAACACATTGTGAAAGAAGTCAATAACATTTCAATAAGTCAGTTTCCAAATTTATATATCAAATATCAAATGCCACTTTCTTTATATCTGATTATCATTCTTTCCTTTTGGGAGATTTCATATGTTTTCTTTTTAGTATGAAGATATTGGAGCAGTTGCTCTTGCAGCATGTTTTATGCAATGCTACTGTGCATAATAATTTCCTGAAGTATTAAGAAGGGACAGCAACAAAACTCACAGCTTTATGTTATGTGATAGTCGTCTGTAATGAGCTACAATGCATTATATATTATCTGAAACAGCAACGAAATGACACAAAAAAATGTAAAGATGTTTAGTGGTAACCATGCAATCAACAATAGATAGGTGTCTATACAAAATATCAAGCTCTAAATCAACCCAAGTTCAGAAAAATATTTACAGATTTTAAAAGGGATCAGCTATGAGCTCAAAATTCTATTTAGAACATAAACTTTAAGAAATTGTTTAAAAAAACCACTACAGAATTTGCCTTCGTTGTTTTCTTAAGCATCTCCAACATGTATTCCTTCTTTTCAAAGTTAATTGCAGCTAATAAATCTTTGTTCTTACGCTAAAATGCTGCAAATAATGCAAGCAGATGCAAGGAACACACATTAGATATTCAGAATTTCAAACCTGACAGAATGTACAACAAAAATTTTACAAACAATAAAACTATGACATAATCAACAAAAATCATGTCCTTCTTACCAGGTTAGCAGAAAATATGAACAGATGGATTTTCTATAGAATGCAACAAAAAAGAAAAAAAAGGAATTAAAATGTATTTATTATTCATAAAAAAAACCAATCAATATCCTTATTAATAAAGCTTTTTTTCTCTGTATTCATAGTAAGGTAATTATTGCTGGCATGAAATGACAAACATAATATCAATTCAATTTTAATGGCTAACAAAAAAAAATTCCTGAGTGTCCTTTTCAAAATCTACAAAACCCACTCATGACTGAAATGACTGTATAATACATTTTGTATTTTATTTTTATTACAAACATTTTGTAATTCTTAATAGTTACCCCTAGGCTTACCAAAGAAAACATTGTAAGAAATTTAATTTGATAAATAGTTGACTGCATAAATTGAAAGGAAAATTCATCATTACATAATCAAGATAAATGTATATTAATTTTTAATTACATTATCAATTTATATACTAATTTTAGTACAGACATATACTCAAAACAAGTTATCTTTAAAAAATTGTGTATACTGTTTTCATAAAATGGAAAAAAGCTCATATAACTCAGATGGACAGACTAGCAATCACCTGGAATTCTTAATATACTGTGAAAGTCCTTTTATTCGTGGGGTACCAATTTTCGTGGTTTTCGTGGATGGCTTTATCCACGAATTTAAGTGTCCAGTGAAATATAAGAACTCTTGTCCAAATCAGGACATGGAAAGATGGAACATGGAAAGATCCCCAATACTGTAGGTTTGACTACATCGAATATCAGCAAACGCACTTTGAACTAAAGATGCAACTTCAGACAGAATTCTGTCCATCTAATCTTTAAAAAACCTAAACAGTACGACTTTAAACCTTTTAATTCTCAAGAAAATTCAAATTCCATTTGTTACCGTTTTCTTTAACATGTTTAAGGGACAAGTTATGGTCCAATTAACACCTTTGGTGACCGTTAATCTGTTGATCAAACAATCTCGGGTTAATTAGTGTCATCACTTCTGATTACCCGTGTGCAACAATTAAAATGTTTACTCTGCAATTTCCTTCAATCGAGAACATTTGTAAGAAAAGATGAATCGGCTTATTTCAGAAAGCAATTATCTTATTAAAAGTTTGAACAATGTTGTCAGTAATGAAACATGAACAAGTAGGTGAAAATGAACACCATATTTTGAAATGTCCCAGAAATTATTATAAAACAACATATGATTATGAGTTTTCGTCTCAGATGGTTTCACATTCTTCACCCAATTTGTTTTTCTTCAAAAAACTTAAATCCACAAATTTAAGAACCCACGAACATGCAACTTTTGCTTAAACCACGAAAATTGATACCCACGAATAAAAGTACTTTCACAGTACATGTAAGTTCCTGGTGAATCGAAAATAATTTACAATCAGTAAAAAGTCTATAATAAAACGAATATCATATTTTTTTCTATTAATATATTATAGCAAGTTTGGCACCAATTTCACCATTTATACAACAAGGTACTTGTATAGTAATTATTAATATATTCCATTTAAGAGTTGTTTTATTTCTTCCTATAATCTGTAGGTATTAATGTGAATGTATTTAGTATATGTTTAACTCTTGTTTTACATTTGTATGTGGCAGAGTATTTTTTAAAAAATGCATTATTGTATAGTATTGCTCCATTTTCTAGCTTCTACAAGTAGCTGCTGTAAACTTGGAAAAATCTTTGGCTTTTGAACTCTGACACAGGCTAAAGACTATATGTATTATTAACATTTATTCATAAGACCTAGCAAAGCACGGTTATATCAAAGATCTGTGTGAACTGTGTGTAGATACAAAATGTATGTAAGATATTTATCAAATATATTTCTTATTTCTTGAATGTGTTGAAATTATTCCGTAAGTCATAATAAAAAATTATCTTAAAGTGTTTACATGGTAGATATTTTTTCATAGTTCCCATAACAATCTTTGAACTTTTTTTTTTAAACTGTAAAAATTGATTGCAAAAGGGAATAAAACATTTGATTGCTTTTATAACCATTTTACTAGAAAGACTTTTCAATATTTACATGAGATTTGCTATTATCCTGATATTTTCCCAAAAAAATAAAAGAAAACTTGGTGTTGAATTCAAACGTTCTAACATTAATTGTCCATTCAAATGGTCTTAATAATTAGTAGAAGGGAACCACGTGGATGAAGGTTCAGGTCATAACCTCGGTCATTCCTACATTCAGTAGCCATTCAAATGGTCTAAGTAATTAACAAAAAGTATTAAAATATGTTTTAAAAACAATCTCTAACAAAACAAATAAGTTACTATCTACACATTGTTGCATCTATTTGCTTAAGCTGAGGCAACGCTAACATAATTTTGCGTCTATAATTTGGATCTGGTACTTTGTCCCCATCATAATAAAGAGGATTTCTTTCTAAATAAACAGTTTGTAGAGTAGCTATTGGAGCTAATTCTTTCAAATCATCAAAATTTGATATCTTGTTGCCATTGAACTGAAATAAAAAAAAAATATATATATATATCAAAACTAATTAGATGAAATAAAAGAAAGAATATCCGTAATATCCGCTTGTTTGAGATGTCTTCCATGTTAATTAGACTTAGTTGTGATTTCAAACATTGCTTTTATTTTCAAATACATTTAAAGTTATGATTTTCGGTTTAAATCTGTGGTGTGTAAAACCGGTGTTCTCCAGTGGTCCTGTAGTCCAGGATTGGCAAAACTACAAGAAGTCTTTACTATTTTGTGTAAAAATTAGCTTGAAAAATCATATTACCCAGTATTGCCCAGTATTACCTGTTTCTAGTATTGCCCAGCCCGGGAAAACCTGGACCCGGGTTTTCCCGCCCCGGTAATACCTTGCCAACTCTGTCCTGTACATATTCGCTTACCGCAAAAATGGCGAAAAGAAAACTGAGCTGTGAAAATTTCTGTGTTTACAGTAAAAGAATGGCCTGAATTTTGCAAAATAACTGCTTAGACATTTTGGACATATGTAGGTTTTGCTTTGGCAATCAAACATAAAATTGAAAGAAGGATTACATTGTTTTATGCCTAATTTGCCATGCTTGAAATTTTAAATGATAATATGTTTAAATTCTCAAAAACAAACAAGAATCATAAATAATGTATTATACACATCTTAACTTTGCCCTAAACAAATATTTAGTTAAAAACCATCCATCAAAAAATCATTCTGGAAGTTCTTCAGCTAATAAACATTGTTTGAGACCAACATAAAGCTAAACTAGATCTGTGTGCTTTCTTTCCTCCTCATATAATAAATTCGTACAGACAATGTACCAAGGCTTGTATGGTGATCCTTACATGTATAAATACAGAACAAAATAAATGGGGAATTTGTGTCCATGGGACACAGATGATGCCCCCGCTTGCATATAACATATAAAGGGACATAACTCAAGAACTGTATAAGTGACGCTTCCCAAATTTCTACTTGATCTGAGCTTAGTGGTAATAAGTATTGTGTATAAGTTTCATAACATTTGGTTGAGGCAAACTGAAGTTAGAGAACGGTAAAACAATTCAGCAATTTTTCCATTTGTAAAGGGCATAACTCTAGAACGGTAAAAGTGACACCGCCAACATTCAAACTTGATCTGTGTATTGTGGTAATAAGCATTGTGTATAAGTTTCATAACATTTGGTTGAGGCAAACTAAAGTTAGAGAACGGAAACGAAAAATTCAGCATTTTTTTCCATTTGTAAAGGGGCATAACTCTAGAACATTTAAAGTGACACCACCAAAATTCAAACTAGATTTGTGTTTTGTGGTAATAAGCATTGTGTATAAGTTTCATAACATTTAGTTGAGGCAAACTAAAGTTAGAGAACGGAAATGAAAAATTCAGCAATTTTTCCATCTCTATAGGGGCATAACTCTAGAACGGTAAAAGTGAACGGAAACCAATTTTGGGACGTACGGACGGACGTACAGACGAACAAGGGTAAAACTTAATGCCCCCTCCGCTACAGTGGGGGCATAAAAAAGAACTGAATTTGAAAAATCTTTACTCATGCTATTGGTGTTGACATAAAAATCCCTACATGTACTAGACAAAATCCTAAACAAACGTACAGTGTTTTGACTGCTCTTTAGTCTCAGAGTGTGTATGGAATAGGCAGAATTTGCACAATGAATACTTACCCAGAACTCTTCTAATGCAATAAGATGGCTGACATTTTCAATGGTTGATATTCTGTTGTTACCAAAATCAATGGTAGTCAATTTAACCTGAAAAAATATAATGTGAAAAATTAAGAAACTAGAGGAATTTGAACAGAGCCATCATACAGGGGATCCTACATGTAAATAAGTAAATTGTTATCAAAGTCAAATAACTCCTGTAAAAATGGTGGAATCTAATTGACGGTGCCATATGGTCAACTACACACAATACACCTTATCGCTATTCCCAGCTGACCCGAGAATCTGTCCCGCTTGAACTATTGACGTCATACAACAATCACTTTTCCATGTGGCGTCAGATATTTTGTATTATGACGTCAAGATTTTACGGGAACCTGTGTGATGTCCAGTAATGGCGGACAAATAGTGATAAGGTGTATGGCAAATAATCCTACTAAGTATTAGAATTTTCTGTCAAACAATCTCTGAGGAGTCGTGTTCACAAAGTCTCAGAGAAATTACGTCCATGTTGGTCATTGTGGAACGATAGTTCCAAAAAAGTCAAATCCAATAACTTCCATAAAACAGATTGAAACAAAATGACAGTATTGTATGGCCAATAACACATGATGGCAAACAGTCCTACCAATCAGCAAGTTTCCTATCAATTGGGTCTCAGCATTCAAATGGTGTCATTATGGTTTGTGAAGGATACCTGATTATGCAGATGAAAACACTGATTACTATTAGCTATATAATGGTAGGGCTCTACTCATAAAATAAAATTACTGATCTACATTTAGAAAAAATTGACATTAAATATGAAAGTTTACATTGATTTTATGCTTTGTTGATTGATTGATTGCTGGTGTTTAATGCAACTTTCATCACTAATAGCTAGGGGCCTAGGTGGCCGAGTGGTCTAAGTAGTTACTACTGTAATCACTAGCCAGTCAACATTGAGGTTGTGAGTTCAAACCCAGCTCGTGTGGGTGCACTCGACTCCAATCTTAATTGACTAGGACTGTCAGTTTTCCTATCGAAGGTCGGTGGTTTTCTCCAGCCACTGAGGCTTCCTCAACCAATTAAAACTGGCTGCCACGAAACAGCCCAAAAGCGGTGCTTAAAAGTGGCGTTAAACACCAAAAATCAAAAATCAAATCACTAATGGCTATATCTTAGCAGCAAGTTTTTATTGATGGAGGAAGCCGAAGTGCCCAGAGAGAACCACAACCTTTGGCAGGAAAACTTAATTAACTGTCAATTAAGTTTGGAGTTGAATACACCTGCTAAAGGGGCTTTTATAGCTGACTATGCTATATTGGTTTCACTCATTGTTGAAGGCTGTAAGGTACCTGTAGTTGTAAACTTCTATGTCATTTAGTCTCTGGTGGTGAATTGTCTCATTGGCAATCATACCACATCTTTTTATTTTTTGATCTATACTTAGTTTCTTACTTAACACAGACAAGCTGAGCTACATTTACCTGTGATCAGCTCACAAGGTAATAAATTATCAATGCAGAAATATATATATCTAATCCATTCAAATATTTTATTTTTCACTGGAATCTGAGCCTTCTTTGTTCTATGCTGAATGGAAAAGATGATGATGATGATGATGATGATGATGATGATGATGATGATGATGATGATGATGAATTCAAATGGCTGTTTAACTACTACTGGACCAAGAAAAAGAGCTGGATTTTTAACAAACTAGTTCACAAAGTAACAGTCCGCAGGAAAACATGACCTCCCACACTTGAGGCAAGCACACAACCATGTGACCACCAATTCGTGAGTGGAACAGCAGCACTTTTCAATTTTGAAGAATTTGATTTGAAGGCAGTCTGGAAATGAACCCTTTGTTCCTCCAGCACCTAAGGTGACCATGTTATCACCAAGACAACCATTATCTACTTACATTTTTGTCTAGTCCTTCAACTTTCTCTATGCCATTATCACTAAAATATAATTCTTCTAAATTGGTCAAAGTATCCAATCCTTCCAGCTTCACTATACGATTACTCTGAAAAAAGAAATTCTATACTGAAGTCATGTAAGTATATTTGTTGTTGACAAAATCACTTCTTTTTTTTACAGTACAAATTCGCTTTTTCAACGAATAAAGTTGCATAACTCCGTCATGTCATATCAGAAATTCATAAAAAAACTAAAGGGAGCTTATTATAATAGATATAAACATGTTGACGATGGACGGACAGACGGACGAACAACGATATACCATAATATTATTAATTCATATATTTTAACTAATTTGATTCGTTCAGGGATAGTCACATGTTAAACTATATTTTCGAAGGTAGACAGAAAACGGCGGATTGCAAAAAGCATATTGCATAGCAAAAAGCATATTGCACGGTTATTTTTAGAGTATCTAAAAACCGATATACTTTGTGACGTCATGTAATGAATTTCATGATATTGTTAAAAGTTTTATTAAAAAATATCTTTGATCGATTATTTGAAGAAAAAAATCTTCAAATACATAAGATGCTAAAAAACAAACATAAAAAATAAATGAAATAACAACTAATATGTTGTTATTGTCTAGGAGACAATATGATATCTATAAATTTCCAACAAAATCAAACAACGATTTTCATACAAATATGGTCGGAAATTAATAATATTATTAATTCGTATATTTTAACTAATTTGATTTGTTCAGGGATAGTCACATGTTAAACTATATTTTCGAAGGTAGACAGAAAACGGCGGATAGCAAAAAGCATATTGCATGCGGTTATTTTTAGAATATCTAAAAACCGATATAATTTGTGACGTCATGTAATGAATTTCATGATAGTGTTAAAAGTTTTATTAAAAAATATCTTAGATCGATTATTTGAAGAAAAAAAATCTTCAAATACATAAGATGTTAAAAAACCAACATAAAAAATAACTGAAATAACAACTAATATGTTGTTATTGTCTAGGAGACAATATGATATCTATAAATTTCCAACAAAATCAAACGACGATTTTCATACAAATATGGTCGGAAATTAATAATATAACAATTATAGCCTATGTATGAGGTCAATACAGGATATATCCTTCTTTCAGGTCAATATATCCTTGTATCGACCTCATACCAAGGCTATAATTGTATAATACGTCCCGTAAACAGGCAGATAAAAAGTAATCACAAACAAGAGGCTGACTCACTCACTCGCCTGGCAAAAATGTGCCAATTTAATTTTTTGTCATCCAATATTATTTTCGTTTAGAAACAAATGGTTTATTTTCAAATATACATCTTTTTGAGAGCATTGAAGTTAAACCAAGGACCACATTAAATATTTACATAAAAATCAGGCTGCAATTTTGTGGCTAACTTCACCCCTAACCTTTTTAATTTAAATGGCTCTCCACTATTGTAGCCATCACTATATCATAGACCACAAAAAATGCTTTGTGGATCATGTGGATATCAATTCACTTATTTATCAATTTAAAATGTTTATAGTCTATTACTGTTCAGGATAATTTCAAATTCATAAAAATCATTATTAAAGAGCATAAGTCAATTGATGGCTTCAGTCTTATCAGCATATTTGTAGTTTTAACTTCTTGTTTTGCCGAGCAGTTTTGCTGTTTACAGTTTCTATCTATTTTCAAAATAATACAGTAAATTAAGAAATTTTGGTGTGCATTTATTATTGCAATTGCTGATCAATGTACAAACATGTGAGATTAATTATTGGGATTTCAGGAAATGTTGCATACACAAATGCCATCAAAATTTAAATTATCAAGTTATATTATCACAAATCTCATTTAGTCACAAATTTCGCAATCATAAAAACTCTGCAAAAATGCAAAAATTCATTAAACGGATGTAACGCATATACAGTCCGTGGCATACTTCAATAAGATATTCTTAAAAACTTGAAAATGTAAGTAGTAATTACTTATATAAATTTATAAGTAAATTTGAAAGATTTAAACTTGCTTTTCAATGTTTGAATTATCTCCCCTTTTACATGTAATTCTTTTACCAATCCTAAAATTTTCCAGTTTTGTGATCAAGTGAAAATTTAATGAATGGCAGAGTAGAATAAAAAGTGCCTTCTTATCCCCCTCCTAAACATTTGTTTCTGAAACAGCTCTTAGATGTTAAGTAAAATTAAAATCAAAAGAAGAAAAACAAAAATCACACTGTTCTATTGTTTTCTTATTAATTTAATATTTCTTAGTCTCTCTGAGTTCTTTTTTTCTCTCTCTCCATTAATTTCTATTCGTCTGACAATAAATAATTACAAGATATATTAAGACTCACACACACACACAACAAGCGACTGGAATAATCTCTATAGACTCAAAATTTGAAATGTAAATAAAAGAAAAATGTGTCTGAGGACACGAATGCCCCCACTCAAGCTATGCAACAATAAAATGCTCCGCTGGGGCGCAGCTTGATACGACCGCAGAGGTCGAACCCTGAACAGTTGGGGCAAGTATGGACACAACATTCAGGCTTGATACAGCACTGAATTTGGATTGTAATTAAATATTTGACACAGCATAGGTTTCTGACACAGAATGAAAGTGGTCTAAGAACTTAAAAATTTTCAATTTACCTATTCATACATGTGATGGACTGTGAAACTCAGATCAGGAGATTGGGAAATTTTGGTCAGGAGATTAGGACTCAGATCAGGAGGTTTTTAATCGACATTAATTTTGTTGTAAATGTAACCGTGTGCTGTAAAAATGGTCTTTTAAAGTGTGTTTTCTTCAACTTTCCAACCAATTTATTATGTTTATAGTACCCTTGTACTTATAAAGTTTCTCCATCTTTATATTCTACATGTTCAATCTAACATTGTTTTTTTCCAGTATGTTCTTTAAATTTTTTACTTCATATTCTATAAAACAATCATTGCAACCAGAACATTTGTTTAGCTGTCTGCAAATATATTTTTTTTTTTCTCTTGCAAATAGTTTTTATTTGCAAACTCAGAAATTCATTCTATCTGAAAAGTTAGGATCATAGTTATTATATAAATTTCAATTTAAGCCTTAAAAGGAAGTATAGAATCCTCAAATAATTTTCAAATTATTATTTTTTTATTTGTCCTAAGACATTTAAAATCATTTAATAACCATCCTTTTATGATTATTTGTTCAATTTATATTTTATTTATATTCTTTTAAAAATTTTCATTATTAAAAGGAAAGTAACTTAAAACAGGATAAATCAAGGGAAGTAACCCAATAAATACACAGTTTTTGTTACACAACGGCAGTTAGCCTGAGGTAAAAATCGTTGCTTACCAGTATGTTTGACACCCAAGCTGACAAGTGAAGCCATATAATTATGCATGTTAATTGATTTACAGGTAAAATATAACTTCAGGTAATGTCAGTTACACCAGATGCCTGAGATGTTATGTTGGGCAGAAATTTTTCATTCATGAAAAATTTCATACACGGGATTTTTTCAACGGGAGGGGGGGAGGAGACCCCTGAAAACGGGATTATTGTACTCCCGTCGGGAGGTTCACATGTATGCCTAATCAAACCATATCATTATTATTTGCTTTTATATATAAATCAGAAATAACCAATTTAAAATGGAAAATGTTAAAGAAAAAAAAGGAAAAAAAAAATCCCCCCCCCCCAATTTTTTGAACCCCCTTATGATTCATCGCCCCCAAACTCAATCCCAGCTTTCCCTTTGTGGTATGGTACCTTGCAGTACAATTTCAGAGAGATTCATACACTTGAACACAAGTTATTGTCTGGAAACTAGAAAAATGCTTGTTTTTTGGCCCCTTTTTGGCCCCAAATTCCTAAACGTTTAGGGCAATTACCCCCAAACTCAATTCCAGCTTTCCCTTTGTGATATGGAACCTTGCAGTACAATTTCATAAAGATCCATACACTTACACACAAGTTATTGTCCTGAAACTAGAAAAATGCATGTTTTTTTTGCCCTTTTATGGCCCCTAATTACTAAAATTTTGAGGGAAAACCCCCAAAATCAATCCCAGCCTTCCCTTTGTGATATGGAACCTTGTAGTACAATTTCATAAAGATCCATACACTTACAAACAAGTTATTGTCATGAAACTAGAAAAATGCTTGTTTTTTGCCCCTTTTTGGCCCCTAATTCCTAATATTTGGAGGAAATTACCCCAAAAATCAATCCCAGTATTCCCTTTGTGATATGGAACCTTGTAGTACAATTTCATAAAGATCCATACACTTACAAACAAGTTATTGTCATGAAACTAGAAAAATGCTTGTTTTTTGCCCCTTTTTGGCCCCTAATTCCTAAAATTTGGAGACAATTACCCCCAAAATCAATCCCAGCATTCCCTTTGTGATATGGAACCTTGTGGTACAATGTCAGAGAGATCCATACACTTACACACAAGTTATGTCTGGAAGTTACAAAAATGCTTATTTTTGGCCCCTTTTGGCCCCTAATTCCTTAACTGTTAGTACCATAACCCCCAAAATCAATCCCCACCTTCCTTTTGTGGTATTGAACCTTATGGTAAAATTTCAATGAGATCCATTCACTTAAACTAAAGTTAGAGTGCGAAAACTAATGTGTATTCGGACGACGACGCCGGACGACGACGACGACGACGACGACGACGACGCCAACGTCATACCAATATACGACCACAAAAATTTTTTTGCGGTCGTATAAAAATGGGACGGAGAGAAAGACGGAAAGACAGAAGGACAGACGTTCAAGAGTAACTCTTAATGGTTACGGCGGGAGCACAAAAACCTAAAACCTTTGAGATTATAGGTAAAAATAACAGATGGTCTTACAATAATCTTGTTAAAATTTAACTAGTGGCTAATCCAGCATAGGAGGACACAGGGAATCGGTTGGTTAGCAGATTAAATTTTGTTTTATTCAAAGTTTTTCAATTTATTTTTTCTTATTTCATGTCAATTTGTATTACACTATTAATATATTTCATGTTGGCATCAATATTTCTTTGTTTTCTAGCAATGTGCAGTTTACTATCCTTATCTGTATACTGAAAAATCCTAAAGGGATCTAATTCTCCATTTTGAATAGCCTACTCTATTTTGAATAAAATATAAAAAAAAATATTTCTATCTGACTATATACCTTACAAAGGCACTCATTTCTTCCTACATGATTCGTCTATCAGAAGCATGCATGTATTGATTTTCTGATCACTCAGGTTAAAAAATTCAAATTTCCCAACAAAAGCAACATAAGTGGCAAACGTGCATTTTTCAACAACATAAACGAAATGAAGAAAAATCTGTCATTTGAAAACTTCCCATGGCATTGTCAGTTTATCTGGACTTGATTTTTTACCCGTTTGTATAAAAGGCTAAAATTTTGAAATTGCAGGTATAAAAACCAGATGTTAAATCCTTTGAATACACTTCTTTTTGTCAGAACTAAGTGGTAGAAGGTTTCTCTCTCTCTCTCTCCCTCTCTCTCTCTCTCTCGCTCTCTTCTCTCTCTCTCTATGACTGGGTCCTGTAAAAATAGTGTTATATATTAACCTTAAAAAATAATTATAATTTACTCAATTGTAACATAAATTAAAAAGTCAACCTTGTTTGTGCCTTCTTTGGGTTTGAATGAATATATTTATCAAAGTAACAATCTGATATTATAACCAATGTTACATCATTTTTCTTTTCAATCTGGAGCTCAAGTAGGCATGGAAAATAAGTTTTATTCTTGAGTTACAATTATACTAGTGGTTATTTTGGTATTTATATTAGCTGCATGAGTTTAGCAACAAATATTTGTAATTTCTTATTTCAAAAAGATCTATACTATATATATATAAAATAATCATACATTGTCTCAAAATATAAATTTTATTTGTACAAGGCTTAGAATTGGGTAAATAGCAAGGCTTTGCATAGCATTTCTATCCTCAGATTCCTGTTTTGAGCCAAGTATAAATAAAATTTATATTTCAAGACAATTTATGGTTATTCTTTATATACTGTAACTCCTACAACTGTTCCAAATGAAATATTTAAGGTAAAAACCATCATTTTTTAATTTGGAGCGAACCTGCATTTTTTTATTGATGTCATAAATAAAACTCTATGGAAAAGCATTGTCAATGTTATAAACAAGGCGATATACGGTCAGTGAATGTATATCACAAATGAATATACAGTAAATGCAATTTGACTGCGCAAATAGCACAGCTGCAGTATATAAAACAATAAATAAATAAATTACTGTAACAAAGACAATATACCATATAGTTCAAATTTTCCTAGACAAAAAATTAATTAAAAATTTATTTCCTCAACTTTGGAAATTTGTAATCTTAATATTTTTACTTAAAATATATGTTGCTAATCTTTTTTTACTCAGTATATTTTTGACATTTTATGCCCATATCTAATATGGAAAGTAAGTGACCTAAAATTAGATAACTTGTTCTAAGGATTGAATAAAGAACTTTAACAGATTCCCTTAAAAACATGAGTCACTATCACATCGACACCGATTTACCTGTAAACTGAGACATCTCAGGTTAACCAATGTTTCCAGTCCAGTGATTTTTGGAATTTTATTTTTTCCGAGGTATAGACTTGTCAGGTTCACTAGCGATGATATGTTTTCAATTACCTGCAAAAATATATAACAAAATGAAAAAAAATTATTTGTACAAATGTTAATGGTAGCTTTTTCTTCTGTTACTTTAGATCAATATATAATCAAGTTTTTTTGTTTTCTATTCTCAACCTCAGGATGTTTGGTTTTCACATTTTCAACTTTTGCATGTACTTCATAATTTTTACCCTTTTTATGCTATCATAGGCAATGCATTAATTGTTTGGGTCCAATCCAACAAAAAAGTGTATATGTTATCTAAATAAACACACTCTTGGGATGTGGGATATAGGGGGTAAAAAATTGTGGGATCTGGGAGAAAGAAGGAAAATAAAGAACTGCGCCATGAGCGCATGATACGCCCATCGCTTTTTCAAAGAATAAAGTTCCATAACTCCTCTAAGTCATTTCAGAAATTTATAAAAATTCAAAGCTCACGTCAATAGATATAAACAATTCACCAAAGTTTCATGAAAACCGCTCAAAGAATTTTTGAGTTATTGTCTGAAAACTGGAAAATCCCCTTTTTTAATGAATAAAACCCAATAACTCGGAAACGTAAAATCTATAATTTATAAAAATTCGAAAGGGAGCTCACGTCAATAGATATGAACAATTCATAAAAGTTTCATGCAAATTGGTTAAAGCGTTTTTGAGTTATTGTCCGACATGTTGACTACAGACAGACAGACAGACAGACAGACAGACAGACAGACAGACAGACAGACAGACAGACAGACAGACAGACAGATGGACGGACCGATAGACGGACAGATGGACAACGGTATACCATAATACGTTTTGTAAACGGGTGTATAAAAATTAGACAGTGGGAAAATTACCCAAAAAATGGGATTTGGAACATGAGCACCCATGCAGCACACTTCCCCTCCCCCCTTACTTTCAACAAAACGTTTTAAAGTTCTCATTTCTTACAGTGTCTCTTTCAAAACTAGAGCTACTACACTTTTCATGTCAAGGTAAGATCACTCAAAATTTAACATGTATTAAGAAAAGTTAATCAAGAAATAAGCTAATTTTCTCAATATGATCTCTTTCAAATGTTAAGTCCACATCAAAGTAATTGAGCATAAAATCTTAGTGCAAATAGCATATAACAGAGTGGTATAAAATCCTTCTACAAAAAGGTGTCATTAGCTATATATAGCTAGTGGAGTCGGATATTAAAAGTGCAAGAAATATACAAAATGTATTAAATCTGGTTGCAGTTCACTTTCTGCAGAATTTTTTAAGGCTTATTGTTGAATTTTCATTCTCATATTCTATGTTTTCAACCATACCAAATGTATGACATGATTATTTCAAAGATTACCTATAATATTACAAAATCTAAAATATTTGAATTATGAAGACAACAACATATTATTTTCTGACTAGATACATAGACAGAATGACAAATACAGTATAGTAAAACACACGGTTTAATCAAAATGACCATGAATATATCATTTCTATGTACAATATCATAACTATTGTTTTGTATTAATCTGTTCATCATGTTCTAATTATCTCACTTTATCTCCCTTGGACCCAATAATTGTATCTTCAATATTCTCAAGACTGGACTGGCAAAAAATATTTCCAGAATTTAATATATGGGGGTGGGGTGAAATTCAATTTATGTTTACATTCTCAATCAGTGAATAAAAGATGCCATCATGGCTAATAACAGATATAAATAATGCAAAAGATTATGTTTCAGGTTAGCCACGATACAGCCTTTTTTGTGCTGAGGCAGCATGAAGCAAACACCAATCAATCAATAAACATATGATTCAGGTTTCTTGCCATAGAATTATAGTTTCAGTAAGCTTAAGTCAAGTCATGAAATATCAGAAAATGTAGTCTCTTTACTATGTCCAAAATTATACATATTGTTTTTTTAAAATGTTTGCCATTTTTAATCTTTCAATGAACAAAGTAGCAATGGTCAACCTCATTTCACACAAAATCATGGGTACTGGTAGTTTTGTGCAATAAAACTTCAATAAAACAGTTTATACTGCATCTAGAAAAATTCCTGCTGTCTTTATCTCTCAAATTTAGTAACAAAGGAATATTTGTGCAAGGTACATTTCATGTCACCTAACTTTTCCTCACAATCTGGGGTTCATGTTGATACGGGAAATAAGTTTTATTTTCGTGATAACCTTTTCATAAATATAATTGTAGCAATTCTTAGCTTCATTATAAAAACAATTTTAGGTCAATATCAGAAAAATATCGACTTGTTTGTATTTGGCACAAAACTGTTGAAGGGCTCAGTAAACCTCGCTCTTCCCCAGTTTTCAAGCCTCATACAAAAAAGTTGATATGTTTCTGACATTGACCAAATATTGTATATATATGTATAATGTTTGACATTGTGCAGATATTTTATGTCTGACTTTCGACCCCCATATGCACATTTTGATAGATTATAGCAGTTACTACAACTGATATGTTAGTTAATAGCTGAGTTGCAGAAACCCTCATTAGGGTCGTAGTTCAAAATGAAGGTCTGTAAGAATACCCATAACACAAATATTCTTTTCATATGGCCTACATATTGAATTACTATTGCTAAAGATTAATTGATTAATTGTTTGTTTATTTGTTTGTTTGTTGGTTGGTTGGTTGGTTGGTTGGTTGGTTGGTTGGTGTTAAACACCTTTCAGCTTTTTACCTATACCATGGCGCTCAGTTTTAATTGGTGAAGGAAGCCAAAGTCACAGGAGAGAACCAACGACCTTCGGCAGGAAAACTGAAAATTCTTGTCAATCAAGATTGAGGACAAATGCACCTACTACGTGCAGTTTTGAACTCACAACCTCAGTGTTGACAGGCTAGTTATACAGTAGATGAACCACTTACACCACACGGCCTCAAAGGCCCCCCTACTGCTGATACAATATGCCTATGTTTCTTAATAAAATACTTTACCCTGATTCTATTAGCACCAAGTTCTAACATTTCTAGCTGCACTAAGTGATCAACATTCTCTATTTTGGTTACTCTGTTATTAACAAAGAATAATTTCTTCAGCTGAGTAAGATTTGTCAAACCCTCTATCTTCTTTATTCTGTTGAATGATAGATCCAGCAGTCTGAAAAAAATATGTATAACAAGAAATGATTGTAACAGGATGCTGTTACGAAGTCTCCCAAACGAAGCTCCCATAATTCGTAATTCCCAGGGTCGCCTGACATTGGGCAACGTCCAGTGAAAATTGGTTTGGTCCAGTAAAGTTATATGCATTAGTGATGCCTGGGGACTAACCTTGTATATCATTCAAATCATCTTGGCATGACAAACCAGAATATATATGGTTTAGGGGTGGGGATCTCGACCATTTACAAGATACTAGAACATTGGGGGTGGGGAGGAACCCCTGGGGACTGGCCCTATACGTCATTCAAATGTTCATTACATGACGAACAGGAATATATATGGTTTAGGGGTGGGGATCTCAACCATTTACAAGATATTAGAACATTGGGGGTGGGGGGAACCCCTGGGGACTGACCGTATACATCATTCAAATGTTCGAGACATGACAAATAGGAATATATATGGTTTAGGGGTGGGGATCTCAACCATTTACAAGATATTAGAACTTTCTCAAATGGCAGGGGGTCGGGATGACCCCTGGGGACTAACCCTGTATATCATTCAAACCATCTTAGCATGACAAACCAGAATATATATGGTTTAGGGGTGGGGATCTCAACCATTTACAAGATATTAGAACTTTCTCAAATGGCAGGGGGTCGGGATGACCCCTGGGGACTAACCCTGTATATCATTCAAACCATCTTAGCATGACAAACCAGAATATATATGGTTTAGGGGTGGGGATTTTGACCACTTACAAGATATTAGAACTTTCTTAAATGGCAGGGGGTGGGGGTGACCCCTGGGGACTAACCCTGTATAACATTTGATGTGCTTTATCATGACAAACCAGAATATATATGGTTTAGGGGTGGGGATCTCGACCATTTACAAGATATTAGAACTTTCTCAAATGGCAGGGGGTCGGGATGACCCCTGGGGACTAACCCTGTATATCATTCAAACCATCTTAGCATGACAAACCAGAATATATATGGTTTAGGGGTGGGGACCTTGACCACTTAGAAGATATTAGAACTTTCTTAAATGGCAGGGGGTGGGGGTGACCCCTGGGGACTAACCCTGTATTTCATTTGATGTGCTTTATCATGACAAACCAGAATATATATGGTTTAGGGGTGGGGATCTCGACCATTTACAAGATATTAGAACTTTCTCAAATGGCAGGGGGTCGGGATGACCCCTGGGGACTAACCCTGTATATCATTCAAACCATCTTAGCATGACAAACCAGAATATATATGGTTTAGGGGTGGGGATCTTGATCACTTAGAAGATATTAGAACTTTCTTAAATGGCAGGGGGTGGGGGTGACCCCTGGGGACTAACCCTGTATTACATTTGATGTGCTTTATCATGACAAACCAGAATATATATGATTTAGGGGTGGGGATCTCGACCATTTACAAGATATAAGAACTTTCTCAAATGGCAGGGGGTCGGGATGACCCCTGGGGACTAACCCTGTATTTCATTTAATGGGCTTCATCATTTAGAACATTTTCAATTAAAAAGATTGTGTCTATCACAAACGGTTTTCAATTTATAATCATTTGAAAATTTAAAAAAATAAAATCCCATAGGGTTCTATAGTAAAACCCTCTTTCTTTTTTGCCCCTCAAAGTACCCCTTTATAAACCCCATTGCACAAACAAACCCCTGATTGCACCACTAGACATGTTAGTCTAACATATTGTGAAACCCTAAGTTAATCTGACAAGCGGTTTTGGAGAACGGGTGTGGACAAGTTCAAATTTAAAAGCGGCGGAAGAAGAAGAAGAAGAAGAAGAAGAAGAAGAAGAAGAAGAAGAAGAAGAAGAAGAAGAAGAATAATAATAATAATAATAAGAACTGAGCAAAAACAATAAGTCTTCCCAAACTTCGTTTGGGAGACTTAATAAAGAAGTTAATATGATGAGAGTGCAAAAAAAGCAACATAACAAACATCATAGTAATAAATATCCAAAAAGTACATTTTTAAGTAAGTAAACGTTCTTCTTCAACATGTAAAGAAAATTCATATATAAAACTTCATAAACTGTTAACACAGAGATATGTCTCGCCTTTTTGTTATTTTGATAATGCAAATGTTGAAATTAAAATAGTAATACTTTAACATGTAAGTTATGCGAATATTCAAAGTCAATGAACCATGACTGAAGGTACAGGGCTAAACAATCTCCATGGAAATGAGATGTGCCAATGTCAATACAACTGCAAACCAAATTGTCTTTTAGTAAGTCGTTCCCTTTAAACAAACCTAAACACAAACATTAACTTGTAAACCATGTAAAAGTTTCAGTCAATGAACCATAATTAGGGGGTGGGGTTATATAATCTCCATATATAGAAATGAAACTTGCAAATGCCAATACATTTGCATACCAAATATCATTGACTTTACATAAGTGGTTCATCTTTAACTGACCTAACCACAAACTAATACATGAAAACTAAGCAAAAGTTTCAAAGTCAATAGACCATGAATAAGGGGGCAGGGCCAAATAATCTCCATGGAAATGAGATATGCCAATGCCTATACAACTGCATACCAAATATCATTGACCTATCACTAGTGGTTCCCCATAAACTGACATAATCACAAACTAATACATGTAAACTAAGCAAAGTTTCAAAGTCAATAGACCTTGACTGAGGAGGAGGGACCTAATAATCTCCAAGGTAATGAGATGTGCCAATGCTAATACAACTGCATACCAAATATCACTGACCTACCACTAGTGGTTCCCCATAAACTGACCTAATCACAAACTAATACATGTAAACTAAGCAAAGTTTCAAAGTCAATAGACCTTGACTGAGGGGGCAGGGCCAAATAATCTCTATGGTAATGAGATGTGCCAATGTTAATACAACTGCATTCCAAATATCATTGACCTACCACTAGTGGTTCACCATGAACTACACCTAATCACAAACTAACACATTGTTGACGCTGCCGTCGCCTCCATCGCCGACGCCGGAAACAGCATACCTAATTCACGCTTTTTGACTTCGTCAAGGCGAGACAATAATTGATAATATCTTATAACAATAACACCTAACGTCATAGTACCCAAATTGCACTGAGTACCCAAATTGCACCTTAGCAAAAATAGCAGCGAAAATCTTACAAGTTTTCTTAGGAACTAAACAATTTGTATTTTTTTATTATTTGACATTATGCTCGTCTTTGAAATAGGTAAATATATCTAAATATTCATAAAACGTTCACAGTATATATCAATAGATGAAGTATTGACTGGAAAAAGTAAAATCAACGGAAACGTCGCATTGCGACATCCACAAAAAGTCTTCTTTTAAAAATGAGCAAATAAAATATGTTACGAACATCCATTTCTTAAAAAATGAATAGTAAGCATGGACTAATGTCAAATTGTTATAAATATTTGAAAAAATATAACAAACCATCTGTCATTCCATTTTTAAGGATATGAATTTAAGCATGGATGCAATTTTGGTACTCCTCATTACAGAATCATGGATCGTTTGGAGGACGGTTCAAACCAATTTTTCTATGATTCATAATGGATTCAAAATTAAATTGGCAGAACTACAAAAATGTATATAGTAAATAAAGATACATCTACAAAATAAACACAGAATGGAAACTTCTGTCTGGATCATAAATAAACGTATGTGAAAAAACTGTCAAAATAGGTGCAATTTGGGTACCCTCATGTTAACTTCATCCCTGTCACCCATGGTATTTGGAAGAGTTTTGTGTTTGCTCAATTGTTTGTTTCTTGATAATTTTCTCTCTAATTTTCAACATTGTAGAGTTAACAGTTATACCTATAATTTTTCTACACAAAGTGTGATTCATTTATAAGCCACTCTTGCATTTTATGTACATGTGTCAGTGAATTTATAAAATAAGTGATTTAGTTAGATCCCTTAAATTCAGGAGTATTTTTGATACATTTATATGGTTTAAACAGCTAATCTGAGGTTTCACAAAATCTCTAACAATATTTTCAGTGATTTTATAAAATTCTTTACAATTTCATGGATTTAATAAAAAAAAAAAAGAAAACTGTTTGTTAGTGATTTATCAAATCCCTGATTTACAAATTCACTTAAGTCATTTGTATGTTTGCAATAATGTTGTAAACACTTGTTTCAATGATGTAATTTTGTCAAGTGATTTAAATTTTATCTCTTGGAATCAAAGTGTCATCAACGCAGATGTGTTTTTGTTGCTCTCATGCTTTTTTAGTTTTGCAGCACATGTGTCAAACACTTGTTTGTTATATGGTGGAGGACTGAAAAACATCCCTTTACTATGTGCTTTCTGTAAGCAGCTTTCCTTGAAGATCTGAATTTTTTTTTTTATATCAATAGCAATATTTTGCCCCTATCAAAATTTGATTACCGTTAAAAGGCTTGTATAGTACACGGTTTTATTCTCCAAAATTGACCCTGACAGCGGGGTGCGGACTATAGAGTACAATAAGCAAGAAATAAGAGAGAAAATTTCAATATTTCGCGATGTGGTTTGTTTACGTTCCGCCATGTTTGTTATTGACATTATAGAGGGCGCTCTTTTCATTTTTCAAACCAATAATTTTACCCAATCCATATTAATAAGTTATTTTATTCAATATCAAATAAATACTGATAAATTTAAAAATTAAATGCTTCATTACAAAATTCTCGTTTCTTTTCAATGCATTGCTAAATATAAACTGGTATCTGCTTGAATGAAATCGTACAAAAAAGGTAAAAAAAGACAACCGTAAACCAGCTTACGATGTGTAAACTACAAAACGTAATCGGTTATTATTCGTTCCGTTTTGGTGTTTCCTATTGACAAATATGTTTTGTTTTAGCTAAGACCCTTCAAACATTAATGTGATAGATATATTAAACACTGTTTTACATAAGGAGGGAACTGTTTTACTTTCAAAGTCGTATTATAGTGATATCTATTATGTACGGATTTCGACTCTCACCGGGTTTTTTTTATCTTTTACATGTGCTTTTCAATCTTCCGGTTTAAACATACACAAGTTTCTAAATTGTTTTAATGTGTGATTTAGACTTATTTTAACCAGCGTGAAGTGTTTTAGAACCATTTACAAGCAGTTTCAGCTTCTGTTTGGTGATGGAAAATAGTTTTTTCCAAGAAAATACCACAAACGACCACACACTATTTAAAATTACCGTTTCATTAGACCTTTTCTAACAGTTACAAAAAGTTTTTTTACCTGAAATTTCGTGGGGAGAATGGGGTGCGGACTATGTACCAGTGCGAACTATACAAGCCTGATTACGGTATATGAATATAAGTTAAAGTTTCATTCACACATGATACAAGTTCAAACACTTAGAGAGGCATGTACATGTATATGTACCAAGGTTCATAATACTGCAGATCCATTTAACTAGTCACTAGGTGAATGTTAGTGATTATGAGTGATTCACTCTGAAATATCTCAATAGATATCATATGACAGGGTTATATCGCACATCAAAGTGTTATCACCCTAAATCACAAGCAGCAACAACAGCAATATTTTACAGAAGCTCCTTGTTTGGAATTTAAATTTTCATTATCAATACCTTTACACAGTAAAAATTATATTACCTTAGCTCTACAAGAGTATCCAAGTTCTCTACAGCAGTAAGTTGGTTGTCATACAGTTCTAATTCTTCCAAAGATGTCAGGTTTTCCATACCTTCTATCTTCTTGATTAAATTCTGTCTTAAACATAATGTCTGAAGAAAAAAATGAATGATGAATAAATGAAATAAATAGTTGAAAGGAAAATGGCTGTAAGAAAAAAAATATACACCTTCTTGTTTGACGCACATGTATTTTTCTTTTATACCATAATGGATTTCCAATTATTTAACCATTTGTTGCTGAAAAAAATGGTTTTACAATAAATTATGTGTCTGACAATCTGAAAATAAAATGTATCTTTCAAAAGTAAATAACTAAATTTAAGTTACATTACATTTCATTTCTCAAAAAAACTCTCAATCATTCAAAATCACAAGGGATGATGCTGTCGCCAACTATGGAAAAATATCCAGCTCAGCTGTAGTTTATAAACCATTTATACATACCCTGACTTTGGTAAGCTGGTCTAAATTTGTGATCTTTGCAATTCTGCTTTGGTTCAAATCTATGTCCTGGAAATAAAAAAAAAAGCATCATCATTTAAAAAGTCAAAAGTGTGTTATTGATACAATGGCTGAAATAGATGTTTATAAATGTATTTTAACAAGGCTAGAAAAGCTGAAATTCAAAAAGAAACTAAAAAACTTTAAAACAGAACGATTATGTTGCATATGGAGTGGAAAATCAGTAACCAGAGATGGGTATGGCATTTTATTTGTCAAGTTTCGTGGACATCGTAAAAAGCTAACTGTGCATAGACTTTCATATTTCATTCATCAGAAATCAATGCTTTCTCGCACCAGACATGTTTCACATTTGTGCCATAGAAAAAAATGCATAAATGTTAACCATTTATCATATGAACCACAAGCTATAAATGTTCAAAGACAGGTGTGTAAAAATAGAGGTAAATGTAGGGGTCACAGAGGATACAACCACTGTATTATAAGGCTATAATAAAAATTAATCATTATTTTTGTCTGGAGTTACTTTATAAAATACGGAGATGTGGTATAGTTGCCATTGAGACATACATCAACCAGAGTCCAATTAGGGGAGATCTTTGTAGCTGTAGGTCACAATTCGGCCTTCAACACATGTAGTCAGCTATATAACAGGCACCAAAAAGTATATTGTATTTATATTGTGTCATAGATAAATTTTATTCGTTCAGTGTATATTTACTTGTTTTTGTTAATATGTCTTTTTGATCAAGCTAAGCCATTTCAATTGATATCTTATAGTGTGTCTTTCGATGTTGTAATGTTGCACTATTGTTTCAGGTTAGGGTGAAGGTTGGCACTTGTTAAAAAGTTTAAACCCGCTGCATTTGTTTGCACCTGTCCTAAGTTCGGAGCCTGTTGTTCAGAGATTGTCGTTTGTTGATGTGGTTCATAAGAGTTTCTTGTTTCTCGTTTTTTATATAGATTAGACTGTTGGTTTTCCTGTTTAAATTGTTTTACACTAGTCATTTTGGGGCCCTTTATAGCTTGCTGTTCGATGTGAGCCAAGGCTCTGTGCCGTACTTTGACCTATAACTGTTTACTTTTTACACATTATGACTTGGATGGAGAGTTGTCTCATTGGCACTCATACTACATCTTCTTATTTCTACTAACCACCACAAAATAAGAAACAATTTAAAACAAAAAAAAAATTGTGTGCCGCTACATCACTGTTGGGGGAGTGGAGGCATGGTCACAAACATATGCAACCCCTCAACATTCTGTACTAGCCTGTCACAAGTCAGGACTCACAGGAGCCTGTTATTCAGTGGATGTCCTTTGTTGCTGTATAACAATTTCAATTTTGTTTGAATTTTTAAATTTTTGTTTTGTACATAATTCAGGCCACTGGTTTTCTAATTTGAATTTTTTTAAATGTTGCCATGTTGGAAGACTGGATTTATATGACATCAGAGCACTGTATAAACATACATGTGGGCAAGATGGAAATTGCTGACAGACTTACATGTTAATAAATCGATTGCCAAGCAACTAAATAATATACTGCTTGTCTCCTTATTCATTTTTCTCCATGAATACATTATATGTTACTTTTATTTACTAACTACCCTTATCATGCTTATAGCACTAACGAGAGCTTTATTACCCGATCCAATAGCTATTCTTATGTAGTACAAACAAATGCTTTATTCCCATTAGATAAATCTTGAACAAACCCTGTAGATGTTTTTTTTTTTTTATTTTTGTGGATTGAGTTGATGTCTCACTGGCATGACTGGCTTATACCCCACATTTTCTTTTATTTACACAAACAGTGAAGAAAACTTGTGACAGTTCTAACCTCTGCATCAACGTCAACAATAACAAACTCTGTTCCGTCCTCATCCTTGACTTCCTCCATCTCTTCATCTTCTGACAGTACTTTGTCTGCCATCTCTCACTACAATAGAGGTAAATTGTAAAATATATAAAGGTGATTCACACTTAGTGATTCTTTTAAATTCAATGTTAAAAAAACCTATGAAATATAATGTATAAAGAGAGATAATTCAGCATGTTCAGAGTAGTAAATTACAAAAAGAGTAAAACTGCAAATTTTTAATCCTCAATTACCTCAATCGAAGCTCTAAATCGATACATTTTTCGTAATTCTATTAATCAAAATATAGAAATTATATTTATATAAATATATAACAACAAATATTGAAAGTTTTTTTTTCAAGAAGTACAAAACAGGATTCAGCATGTGTTCATGGCTATCAATTCCAAATAAATCATGTCATGGTAAAACAATCTGCTATTTTTAAACGTAGTGAAATATAAGAATTTCCTATCTTCAAATGAATACATATATCATGTATATACAAGTGGTTGACTTGTGTACTGTATATAAAATCAACTTTGAGAATTTTTTTCTCAACAACAACCAGACACCAAAACAAATATTTTTAAAAGAGGAGACAGAAATAACAATTAAATTTTAACACAAACGAGAGTTTACACTGTTCGATAATATTATCAATCAGTGATACCATTTTATGAACCTTTTTTTTTTTTTTTAAATTCCTGACTAGGTTTCAGTCAAATGAACGGCTGTATTTAAAGAAGTGAAATAAGAATTTAATTTTACAACGTATTAAAGTTCTTAAAACAAATTTATATCTTCAATACAGATATTTTATTTATTTTTTTTCATTTTGGGAGAAAGTATTTTATTTAAGTGTATTAATTTTCGTGAATGATGGTCCGCGGGACACAGTTATCCTACTTTGATTTTCATTGTCTACAAATACAGTCCCTAGTGTGGACAGTGTATAACTTGAAAAATTTTTTCATACACTTTCCAAATTTATTTCATTATATTTTATGCATGCATGACATATTAAGTAAGGGGATGAAATTACATGTTAAAAAAATTTGGGTGCTGAATCTTTATGTTAAGTAGTGATTTTGTCCAGTTAAAAACAGTAAAAAAAAATAGTATGTCTGAAGCTGTCAAACTGAATTTTAGACCCCCTTAACATAGAATTGTCAATATTTTGAGTTAGAGCTGGTAGATTTTTCTATAATTTTGAAATTACTTGTCCCAATAGCAGTACACTATACTGTAAAAATCTTTTTGAGATAGAGCATGTGCGATTTTTTAAATTTGAATTTATATATTGTCTAAAAGAAATGCACTACGAAATAACTGTGTTCTCCGGCCTGATGTATTAATATATCAAATAATTATTCATTATTTGGAGAAGACGCTTCTTATTTGAAAAACTTTTGTCTTGTCCATCATTTTTTGTCCATTTGAACAATAAAATATGTTTAAACTCAACTAATAATGTAATGTATGAACTGGTGGGTCTTTTTTTAATCAGCTTTTCTGTACTGTGTACTATCTTGAAGACTGTCAAAGAAACCCCTAGGGATGATTCTGGCCAAGTTTGCATGGTTTTGGTAAACATTCCACCTATTAATTTCAGAGAAGATTTTTTTAAAGTCAAAGGACAAGTGATGAGAAAAGTTCACACTGGCCCAAAATTCAAGTTTGGTTTAATTTGCTCATGCTAGGAAAATTTTATCCCAAGTAAAAATTGTAACTTGTTTGGGAAATGGTGCAAAAAATGAAGAAAATGAAGACCAAAGCACACATTGAAATGAAAACATGAAAATATCAAATGGGTTGTGAGACAGTTTGGGTTAGGGCTAGTATTGTCTTAATCTTGTATCTATCAATCAATCTTTATTGAGTGGTACCCCTCAAGTAAAAGAAGGTTTTTTTTTTTAAATCTCTAATCAGCAGTTATAAAAAAGAATACATATACTGGTACATGACAACGCGAACCACTTTTAAAGACAACTTGGACCACTTTTTAAAGACAACTCGAACCACTTTTAAAGACAACTTGGACCACTTTTTAAAGACAACTCGAACCACTTTTAAAGACAACTTGGACCTCTTTTAAAGACTGACAGGACCACTTTTAAAGACAACTTGGACCACTTTTAAAGACTGACAGGACCACTTTTAAAGACAACTTGGACTACTTTTAAAGACTGCTTGAACAAGTTTAAAAACTTCATGGACCAGTGTGAAAAACAGCTCGGACCACTTATGAAGTCACAGAAAAGTTTGAAATAATTATAATAACATATGAATGAAATGACCAAGATATAAATATATCTGTTTTATATCTGTTTTTTTTGTATGCTAAACATTTGCATGTAAAAATATGTGTTGTTTTATTTTTTATTGATCTACAATGTAATTGATCTCGTTAGGATAGACATAAAATAATTAATACAAAAATATGGTAAACACAAACAGGTCTGGGATGCCTATAAATCTGATAAAGGTATTTAAATGGGTCTGACAAGCATTTCTAGCATTTCTATAATCATGATAAACATGACAATGGTAACTGGTACCAGTTGTCTCTCAAACAGGTCAGAGTTTTCTTTCATACTGGTCAGAGTTGATTTTTCATTGGTCCAAGTTGTCCTGAGTCGGAAATAAGACGTTTCAGCCATGGAGCCAGTTTGGCCATGTAATTAAAATCTATCAGCCATACTTTTATTTTATATTAAAGAGATTTTGTTGCATATGTTTTCATTTATTTACCTTTCATAACTTTAAAAAATAACTTTATTACACTTTTAGTAATGACGTTTAATTAAAAAAACAACAGTGTATATATAAACTGATAATAGTCTTCTTTGTAAGTAGTATTTGAAGGTTAATTATAAGAAGTTGATTGCAGATACCACATACAATTATTTTTCATGATTGGTGTGATAAAAAGTACATGAAGTACACAATGATTAACTTTGAAGTTGTAATTGGTCACGTTTCAAAAAGAATAAAAGACTGCTACATCCCAAGCTGAGCACAAACTTTATGCATACATTCACTGTTGTCATGGTTAAAAATAATGCTAAAATCATAGACTGATTCCTTTGATATTGCATTGCACCTTTTTCCATGTGTCCAATGTGAGGCATTATTTCTATGTGTCCAATGTGAGGCATTATTTTCATGTCTCCAATGTGAGGCATTATTTCCATGTGTCCAATGTGAGGCATTATTTCCATGTCTCCAATGTGAGGCATTACTTCCATGTGTGCAATGTGAGGCATTATTTCCATGTGTCCAATGTGAGGCATTATTTCTATGTGTCCAATGTGAGGCATTACTTCCATGTGTGCAATGTGAGGCATTATTTCCATGTGTCCAATGTGAGGCATTATTTCCATGTGTCCAATGTGAGGCATTATTTCCATGTCTCCAATGTGAGGCATTACTTCCATGTGTCCAATGTGAGGCATTATTTCCATGTGTCCAATGTGAGGCATTATTTCCATGTGTGCAATTAGAGGCATTATTTCCATGTGTCCAATGTGAGGGATTTGGAACTTGTTGAATTGTACGATTGTGATGAAGATCGAAAAAGTTAACAATGAATAAAATGTTTGGTCCTTGGTGGAGAGTTGTCTCATTGCCAATCATATCACATCTTCTATTTTTATGCTCCTGTCCATTAAGTTTTATCCTTTAGGTCCACAGAATTAAACAAATTCGTTTTCTTTTTGTGTCTTTTTTTCTCTGTTTTCTTTTAACAGGCATGTTTAAAACAAAACAAAAAGGCAAGTCTTGTTTTCAAATAACCAAATTGAATTACAACATGTACAAATTGATTGGTTTATTATGAGACACACACATTCGTCAATCACTTAGACACGAATCTTATCACTAAGTTAATCCAATTATCTAATTAAATATACAAACGTATCCTAAATTTTTTTAAATAATGTTTATAAATTATTTGGCATGCATATATATCATGTATATAATAGATATGGGGTATATATTTTGATCTGCTCTAATTGAGACTTCAACCTACTATGCCTACAGTACCTAATAAAAAAAAAAAAATTTTGACCTGGCTCTGCCGACTGTGACATTTTCCGTACACTGCATCTCCTTATTTTTATTAGGAATGTCTAAACATATACATGATATATAAAGAAATATTTACTTACTTCTCATTTTATTAAAAACTTTGATAGGCTTGACCATTGTTGACATTAAGAAAATATATTTAATGGGCCGAAACGACCAAAACCAAACTGGTACATGGCGAAAATGACATATAGCCGAACTGGTTCATGAAATGTCTTGAAAGCTCCTGATTCCATTAAGAAAAAGTCGGTCTCACTAATTAGCGACAAGAAGAAAAAATTTAGGTACATATCCTGTGAATTTGTGGCATGAATTTGGTTTGATATAGCCTGGAACTATTATATTGTGTCCCAGATATAGCAATCATGCCGACCCTATGAAATTCGGATCTCCTGTAGTTGGTGATCGCAATACTGGTATACCAGTATTGTGCACAATACTGGTATAAAAAATTTGTACCAGTATTCATGGTATTGTACCAGTATTGTGGTTTTTTTTAAATAAACAATACATATAGGTAATTAATCTTTAAATTTATTAAAGGTGTCACATATATATATATATACATGTATATATATGCATAATGAAATTGACATATGACATGACAATTTTATAAGGAATGATTGGACATAGAGATTGTATGTTTAAATGATGGTACACTGTGATTGTCATCAAAGAAAGTTTTAAATCTTCTGATGTTTTTTTTTCTTGAGGAAACATGCAGTACTGTCCCAGCATTTCAACAAACTCTTTATTTTCTTCTACAGTGTATCTTTTCTTTCAGCTCTAGCGCTCTCTTTCCAAGACTCATAGTATATTTTAGTGAATTTTATATTGACATTGCTGTTATAGCTGCTGTATCATCAGCATTGGTATTGTCTATTTCTTCTTCAGATGGCATTTCTGTATATTGTATTCAGTCTCTGTGGACTTTCTCTCTTACGCTTAACAACATGACCAGCTTCTTCAGATGGCACTTGTACGGCTCTCTTACTATCATAGGTGATGGAGTGCTTGTCTAGTACTAGTATTTGTACCATTTGATATATCTGCTACGAATTGTGTTGCCCATGGTTCTGAATCATCTGCTTTAATTAACCTAAACATTCATGTAGTTAAATTGATTATAATCAGGTTCCCCTATTACGCAACTTTTTATGTTTAATGGATATTGATATCTTTAATTGTGAAAAATAAATTAGAAAATAACGACCAACAGTCAAAGTTATTAGAGAAGAATATTATTACAGATACTTTCTCTTAATCTGTAGTAACATATGTTTGTTATCAGTTAAATGTACCATAAATTTTTTTATTTTCAGTGGGCACTTGGGAATTCTTGAAACTTGCGCAGTAACTTAATACATAACCTTGAAAGCTAATTTTCCAATTCAATTAATACATCTTTGATCAACCATGGTAAATCAATGAGACAAGGCTTTTAAGTGATAACTTAGCTGTAATAACAAGGCTTAGTTATTACAGGCATTTAACTTATTACATGAGACACTTGGGAATGACTAGGAAGCTTGCACAGAACCTCATTACATGGTCTTATCATTATTTATTACAATAAATTAAAATACATTGTGATATATGTAGGAGGAAAGGCTTTGAAGAGATGTAGAGAAGCTGTAATAACACCCTTTAGTTATTACAGGCATATTTTTTCTGTAATAACATGGGTGTGTTATGCATGATTGGCAAACTATGGGCTGTTATATCTTTCTAAAGTTTAATATACATTAAAACAATTATAATATCAATAGAACTAGTACACAATTTAACAAAATAAAGGATGTATAATGCCCTTGGATTGATGGATGGATGGATGGATGGATGGATGGATGGATGGATGGATGGATGGATGGATGGATGGATGGTGAGTATTTTTAACTGGTTGTTAATTTCACAATATTCCTCTTTAATATTGTTGATTTCACTTAATCCCCTTTTGATCTTTAATATCTAATTTTGCTTAATATTCATTTTTTTATTATACACCTTAATCATGTTAAAGTATAGTTAACAATACAACTACAATACTAGGTTATCAGTAATGTACCAGTATTGCTGTTTTTTTTTTAAAAGTTACAATACTGGAACAAAATTTTTATACCAGTATTGCGATCACCAACTACAGGAGATCCGAAAATTCTAGTGGATCTATCAGTCTTCACGCTGAACCACAGGCCCAGCAGTCCAGGCTTGTAAAATAGCTCTTGGTGGGGCCTGTAAAAATCATCTCTACAGGCCAACAGAATCTTACTTAAATTTTCCAAAAATTAAGCTCCAGGCCTGTAGATTTTAAAGTTCATCGTGAAAACTGATCTATATCTTAAAAAAATCACGCTTTAATACATGTTTCTATATTTATTTAAACTATATGTCTTGAAAACTAAATGTGTTTTTTGTTGTCGCTAAACTAATCTTCCTGTCGCTAAATTATTCTTCTTGTCGGTAATCAGTGAGATTCGAAAAAGTAAGTGCATGAGTTCTAAATGGTACATACAAGAACAAGGGAAGCAAGTTAACTCGTACCATTGTAAACTCGTACCAAAAAAGTTAACTTGTACCAACATAAACTCGTACCACTGGGAAGTCGTACCAATCAGAACTCGTACCACTGCAAACTCGTACCATCAAAAATATATTCAAAAATACGAATGTTTTATGATTATTCTTTTTAAGCTTTATACAAAAAATTAAAATATCTTTGAATTTTATACCAGTTTTTAATGAAAACTTAGACAAAAAAAGAATTTAATTTCTTAATTACCATGCTAATTTAGTAATTAATATATAAAATTCCTTTGATTGTGTGATTATTGGTTGATAATTATCTAATCAACTTGTTTAATCATATTAGAATGGTCATATTCTGCTAAAATGTGCTGAATATTTTATAAAAATAAATTTCATACTTTCTACCTGTTGGTCATAAACAATTTTAAACCTTTAAAACACAATAAATAAATTCTTTCATTAAATAAAATTCCTTTTAAAACAATAGAAAAATACCCAAATCTATTCAATGTTACTGATTTGGAATGATTAAAAATAAAATCAAACAGTTGTCAAAAAAAGTTTAAAAAAGAGTCTATTCAAGGGAGACAACAAAGCCAATCTGCCACGGTTTTCTCTATCCAATTAGACATGGAAAATTAGCTACAAATTGGTCATTGTAATTTCAAATTATATACATTTCACAGACTTAAGAGGTATTGAGTGAAATTAAAGTATATATTCATCATTAAACACCATTTGAATGCATTTAAATAAGTTGGTACGAGTTTACAATGGTATGAATTTACAGTGGTACGAGTTAGCAGTGGTACGAGTTTGCATTGGTACGAGTTTTTTTTTAGTGGTACGAGTTGACATTGGTACGAGTTTACAATGGTACGAGATAACTATAATTCAGAACAAGAACAGGACTCAATGTATAACTTGAAAATATAACTGTATGACCCATTTGTACTTGACTAAAATTGTCTCTTATCGAGAAGAACACCCCCCCCCCCCCTCCCTTTCCCCTTGCAATAATGACTCAGGTCTACAAATGATTATTACGAAATGTCAAAACTGCGTTTTAGAAAAAGATCACAAGGAAACGAAGAAAGTTACAAAAGGCGGAACAAAAGGTTAATTTTTAGTTTAATAATGGTGTAGTGTTGACATTATAGCATGTTTACCTATACTTTGAATATTTCTTCAAGATTGGAAGAGAATGAATAGCCTTTCAGACTTTCCCGGGTGTTGTGAGACAGGCAGAATGTAAACAATGTAAGGCTAGCGGTTTTGTAAACTCTATTTTTATTGGAGGAAATTTCCTAACAGAACTACCTATAACTATGATTAAATATCCGTTTTCGGATCAGTGGAGAAACGGCATATTTTTACCAGAAAGATATATATATACGTCTCTGTTTTGAACAATGTAAATCTGTGCATTTATATACTAGTAGTTCGTAAAAATAATTGTAAAATAAAATAAAAGTGAAATTCTAAAGATATATTCTAGTTACTTATATTACAAATTTTAGATTGAACTTGAATAAGATGTAATATTGATGTTCTAAAAAAGACAAAAAAAAGATATTGAAGGTGTGAAGTATCAGAATCCTGAAGGGGTGGGGGTTTACATCGGTACTAACATGTGAAAATAACAGCCGAATATCGGAAATTGTAGTTTATTGATTTATAATCATAATCATAATCAATATCAATCCTCTGTTAAAATCGGAGCCGTATTGGATAAGGACCCTATAACTTAATTAGCAAGTAAATGTAAAGTGTGTTAAATTCCAAAAAAATGTGTATGTTAAATTATAATTACGTGGCGTAAATTAAAAAAAAAAATTACACACAATTTGGTTTCTGCTATTATAAACTTATATATAATAGTATGTTAGATTATGTAGATAGGTGGATTAAACTCCTCTTGAAGAGGTTTGTAGTATACGAAAAAAAATGAATGTTAAAAAGTTCTGTCAATAAAAGTAGTAGTGAAGTTTCAGGCATGTTATGGTCAAGTTCTAATCTAAGCAGTACTGGAAGCAGCTAAAGCTTGGAATCACCATGCAAGAATAGATAGTGCTATAGGTCAATCATTTCTAGTTATAATAGTTATGACTATTGCCGCTTTATTAAATTGTATATATCTATAACACGTAAATTGTATGTGAAATGAACATTTCAAGTTGGCCATGATTTCAAGAATCACCGAACATAAGCACATATCCTTGTTTTATTTAGTATAATTTCTTTGTTGTTGTAAAGGAAAAAACTGGTAACATTACCGGACGTCTTTCAATTCAATGAGGGAGACGCCATATCCTTTTTTGTCCTTTCTATTTATAAGACTTCGGTAATTAAGTCGAACTCCGCCTGAAACGAGAATTCAGGTATATATATAAACAAAACAAGTGAGTTGTTATGTATTGTTGCTTTTTGGGGAACTTGCCTACTGTTTGACCTTTTTGGTAATTACTTCCTGGTTCGGCATCCTGTAAAATAGTTCTTATGAAATGAGAATTTCTGGATAACCTTACATAACCAAAAATTACAATTCTAATCAAATTTTTACAAATCGCTTACATATCGGTTTTATATTTCAAAACTTATTAATGGTCAGAAATGGTCAACCTCTCACCAAGAGGACTATTTCATCGTGCATTGATAGTGATTTTTTTTTTTATCAAAGACCAAAAACTAGAGTTTTGAAAGGAACGACCAAAAACGAAAGCAAGCTTTCGTGTTTCGTGTGATTTTTGTATAGAAATTTGCAAAATTTGTGTTCATTTTGTTAGAATTAGAACACCTTGTTCGAGTAAGAAATAGGAATTATAGACTTTGCAAACTCGGAAAGTTTGGAGTATCGCTTCTCGGCCTTTTGGCTAAGATCAAAGTGTAGTATCTGTTCTTATCAGCTTAATATCTGATACGTACCCCATGTGGGTACTTCGATATTAAACTGATTTTTGCAACTAGGTGAGATGTTAGGTGCTTGCACCGCTCTTGCCACGAGTTGGCCTGGTATTGCAGTACCTCCAGGATCGGCTCACTCCCCCATTTGGGGGAGAAAAAATCAAATAGAAAAATAGATTCCCCTCTTTACACCATCAAACAGCCTGAATTAGATATTCTGTAATGCTTTTCACTGCACATATGTACTCTTTCTGTATTTTTTTCTTTGATTTTTATGCTATGAATTTGCGTAAAATGTATAGTGTTACACATTGTTGTAAATTAATTCTACCACACGTGCATGTTAAATATTAAGTAACATTTTTTTACGTCTGTTCGCTTAAAAATATTTGATTTTTGATTTTCTATAGTGTAATACTTTTGTTGTCGCTTGTGAATACAAATAAAACAGTACATGCGAGTCGAATTATATTCTCGCTCCTTAAAAGAAAAATCTAAATTTTTAGCGTTACGAAAAAGCGTCGGAAAAGAATTCCGTCCTCCTTCTATTGTCAATTATTGCTATAGCGACGTAGCCTGAGAACGAGGGCAGACGATGGAAACTTCAGTTGGCCGGTAAGTTTTTTCTTCTTTCCAAAATATATTCAAACATAGCTATACCGGTCAATTCCTAAATATTTAAAAACATGTGTACTTTAATGTTTGTGTCAATCAAATGAGACAGTCAAAAGTCCGTGCTATTTGTGAAAAGCGTGGAATTTATTTATGATCAAAGAAATTTCTCGAAAAACTACGTTCATCGGACCTAAGGGAAATCGATATGAAAATGTAATTTGGTTCGACATAGAGAAAATACGTATGATATACGTTTATAATATTATTACCGCTTTTATTCCGACTTGCCGTATTTCACAAGCCGTTTTTTATTTTCACGCCAGTTTTGTCAAGCAAAAATCGTTTCGTACTGCCAGGTGTTTGATTCAAAGCAAGCTTTCGTGTTTCGTGTGATTTTTGTATAGAAATTTGCAAAATTTGTGTTCATTTTGTTAGAATTAGAACACCTTGTTCGAGTAAGAAATAGGAATTATAGACTTTGCAAACTCGGAAAGTTTGGAGTATCGCTTCTCGGCCTTTTGGCTAAGATCAAAGTGTAGTATCTGTTCTTATCAGCTTAATATCTGATACGTACCCCATGTGGGTACTTCGATATTAAACTGATTTTTGCAACTAGGTGAGATGTTAGGTGCTTGCACCGCTCTTGCCACGAGTTGGCCTGGTATTGCAGTACCTCCAGGATCGGCTCACTCCCCCATTTGGGGGAGAAAAAATCAAATAGAAAAATAGATTCCCCTCTTTACACCATCAAACAGCCTGAATTAGATATTCTGTAATGCTTTTCACTGCACATATGTACTCTTTCTGTATTTTTTTCTTTGATTTTTATGCTATGAATTTGCGTAAAATGTATAGTGTTACACATTGTTGTAAATTAATTCTACCACACGTGCATGTTAAATATTAAGTAACATTTTTTTACGTCTGTTCGCTTAAAAATATTTGATTTTTGATTTTCTATAGTGTAATACTTTTGTTGTCGCTTGTGAATACAAATAAAACAGTACATGCGAGTCGAATTATATTCTCGCTCCTTAAAAGAAAAATCTAAATTTTTAGCGTTACGAAAAAGCGTCGGAAAAGAATTCCGTCCTCCTTCTATTGTCAATTATTGCTATAGCGACGTAGCCTGAGAACGAGGGCAGACGATGGAAACTTCAGTTGGCCGGTAAGTTTTTTCTTCTTTCCAAAATATATTCAAACATAGCTATACCGGTCAATTCCTAAATATTTAAAAACATGTGTACTTTAATGTTTGTGTCAATCAAATGAGACAGTCAAAAGTCCGTGCTATTTGTGAAAAGCGTGGAATTTATTTATGATCAAAGAAATTTCTCGAAAAACTACGTTCATCGGACCTAAGGGAAATCGATATGAAAATGTAATTTGGTTCGACATAGAGAAAATACGTATGATATACGTTTATAATATTATTACCGCTTTTATTCCGACTTGCCGTATTTCACAAGCCGTTTTTTATTTTCACGCCAGTTTTGTCAAGCAAAAATCGTTTCGTACTGCCAGGTGTTTGATTCAAAGCAAGCTTTCGTGTTTCGTGTGATTTTTGTATAGAAATTTGCAAAATTTGTGTTCATTTTGTTAGAATTAGAACACCTTGTTCGAGTAAGAAATAGGAATTATAGACTTTGCAAACTCGGAAAGTTTGGAGTATCGCTTCTCGGCCTTTTGGCTAAGATCAAAGTGTAGTATCTGTTCTTATCAGCTTAATATCTGATACGTACCCCATGTGGGTACTTCGATATTAAACTGATTTTTGCAACTAGGTGAGATGTTAGGTGCTTGCACCGCTCTTGCCACGAGTTGGCCTGGTATTGCAGTACCTCCAGGATCGGCTCACTCCCCCATTTGGGGGAGAAAAAATCAAATAGAAAAATAGATTCCCCTCTTTACACCATCAAACAGCCTGAATTAGATATTCTGTAATGCTTTTCACTGCACATATGTACTCTTTCTGTATTTTTTTCTTTGATTTTTATGCTATGAATTTGCGTAAAATGTATAGTGTTACACATTGTTGTAAATTAATTCTACCACACGTGCATGTTAAATATTAAGTAACATTTTTTTACGTCTGTTCGCTTAAAAATATTTGATTTTTGATTTTCTATAGTGTAATACTTTTGTTGTCGCTTGTGAATACAAATAAAACAGTACATGCGAGTCGAATTATATTCTCGCTCCTTAAAAGAAAAATCTAAATTTTTAGCGTTACGAAAAAGCGTCGGAAAAGAATTCCGTCCTCCTTCTATTGTCAATTATTGCTATAGCGACGTAGCCTGAGAACGAGGGCAGACGATGGAAACTTCAGTTGGCCGGTAAGTTTTTTCTTCTTTCCAAAATATATTCAAACATAGCTATACCGGTCAATTCCTAAATATTTAAAAACATGTGTACTTTAATGTTTGTGTCAATCAAATGAGACAGTCAAAAGTCCGTGCTATTTGTGAAAAGCGTGGAATTTATTTATGATCAAAGAAATTTCTCGAAAAACTACGTTCATCGGACCTAAGGGAAATCGATATGAAAATGTAATTTGGTTCGACATAGAGAAAATACGTATGATATACGTTTATAATATTATTACCGCTTTTATTCCGACTTGCCGTATTTCACAAGCCGTTTTTTATTTTCACGCCAGTTTTGTCAAGCAAAAATCGTTTCGTACTGCCAGGTGTTTGATTCAAAGCAAGCTTTCGTGTTTCGTGTGATTTTTGTATAGAAATTTGCAAAATTTGTGTTCATTTTGTTAGAATTAGAACACCTTGTTCGAGTAAGAAATAGGAATTATAGACTT